GGTTTACATACAAACAGTGCAAGAGTGAAGAAATAAGATAGAAGAGCTAAGATTTAATTGCAAGTGCAGAAACATATATTCATTATTGCCTATAATACAGAGACCATGGCTCACTGAAAGATAGAGAATGCCTTACTGAATGTCACATACAAGGCTAAAAAAATTATTCCACACTGACGGGGGCAACGGAAAGGGTGGGTGGGTAGCGATTTTTGTCGAACAATTTAAATTTTTTGTTTAACAAGATATTAAATTAGAACGTCAGCCACTGAATCTTTTTTGGTTAAGTTTCTCGGGGGCCGAGAAAAATTTTTTTGGGGTGTGATTTACGGGGCCCCAAATTTGAAGGGAGTGCAGTAAACTTCAGGGGACGAAATTGAAAGGGGCAGCAAATACAAAATTTGGCTAATGGAGATTTCAATATAGACAGTTTATGGAGAAAATTTGACAGGAAATTTAATCAGGTGATTTCTTGATCGATCCAGGATTGTTTTTTAAAACATTTTGACAGAGCCAACTAGGGAAAAAAACCCCCTTTTTACTTGGTTCTTGCCATTAGGGAAACACAATTAATAATTTGGGGTTAATATGGCTTGGGGAAAGTGATCACAAATCACTCATTTTTTAATATATCATGGAATTCCCCAAATAGGGGCAATCAAGTCCCGCCCCTGACTTTCGTTTGGGCTGTTTCATGGGGACTGAAAATTACTTAGGGGGCTAACTGGGATACCTGACAAAGGGGTCAGGTATGGGGGATGGTTCCCGATATGATGCTTTCCAGGCATATTTCTAGCTCCCCAGTTCAAATTTTATTTTCCAAAATAGGGAAATCAGACAAACAAAAATGTCCTAAATGGATGAACAATAGATTAAAATATCGAGGGTTTCAAAAGGAGGATATATAGGAAATAAAAAGAGGAGGGGGGCAATTAAGAAATCATTATTCAGTTAAAAGAGAAAAAAAAAAGGGGAAATTTAGAAAAGCAAAAAGAGATTATGGGGGAAAGTTCAAGAGAACGAAAAACCCAAAAGGATTCTTCAGGATACAGAATAAAATCAGGGACAAGATAGGGCCCCCTCAAAAATTCTCGGGTCAGTCACGACAGTGATAAGGGAAATGTGTAGAATTTTTTTAAACATACTTCCTCCGTTTTTTTTAAAACCCGGAGGGTCCCGCGATATTCAGTAATGATAAATTTTATAGAACAGGGCGATAATAAACTGTGCACGATTAGGGTCACAAATGACATGGTCCTTAGGCAAATAGATAAATTAAAACCTAAAAAATCCCCAGGCTGATGAACTGTATGCAAGGGTTCTAAAGGAATGTAAAGAGGAGCTTAGCAAACCTTTGGCTAATCTTTTCAAACATATCACTACAAACTGGCATGGTGCCAGATAAGTGGGAAAAATTTGGCAAATGTGATACCTATTTTCAAGACAGGTGACAGGTCCTTAGCTTCGAACTATAGACCAATAAGCCTGACCTCCATAGTGGGAAAATTTATGGAATCAATAATTGCCGAGGCAGTTCGTAGCCACCTTGAAAAGCATAAATTAATCAACGAATCTCAGCATGGTTTTACAAAGGGGCGTTCCTGCCTTAACGAATTTATTAACTTTTTTCACTAAGGTATTTGAGGAGGTAGATCATGGTAATGAATATGATATTGTGTATATGGACTTCAGTAAGGCTTTTGACAGGGTCCCACATCAGAGACTATTGAGGAAAATTAAAGCACATGGAATAGGAGGAGAATTTTTTTCCTGGATAGAGGCATGGTTGACAAATAGGCAGCAGAGAGTTTGCATAAATGGGGAGAAATCAGAGTGGGGAAGCGTTTACGAGCGGTGTTCACAGGGGTCAGTGTTGGGCCCCCTGCTGTTCACAATCTACATAAACGACATAGATGAGGGCATAAAGAGCGACATCGGCAAGTTTGCCGATGACACCAAAATAGGCCGTCGAATTCATTCTGACGAGGACATTAGAGCACTCCAGGAAGATTTGAATAGACTGATGCAGTGGTCGGAGAAGTGGCAGATGCAGTTTAATATAGACAAATGCAAAGTTCTAAATGTTGGAACAGGACAATAACCATGCCACATATAAACTAAATAATGTAGATCTTAATATTACGGATTGCGAAAAAGATTTAGGAGTTCTGGTTAGCAGTAATCTGAAACCAAGACAACAGTGCATAAGTGTTCGCAATAAAGCTAATAGAATCTTGGCTTCATATCAAGAAGCATAAGTAATAGGAGTCCTCAGGTTGTTCTTCAACTCTATACATCCTTGGTTAGGCCTCATTTAGATTAAAGCTGCACAGTTTTGGTCACCGTATTACAGGGATGGATATAAATTCTCTGGAAAATGTACAAAGGAGGATGACAAAGTTGATCCCCTGTATCAGAAACCTTCCCTATGAGGATAGACTAAGGGCCCTGAATCTGCACTCTCTAGAAAGACGTAGAATTAGGGGGATATGATTGAGGTGTATAAATGGAAGACAGGAATAAATATAGGGGATGTAAATAGTGTGCTGAAAATATCTAGCCTAGACAGGACTCGCAGCAATGGTTTTAAGTTGGAAAAATTCAGATTCAGGAAGGATATAGGAAAGTACTGGTTTGGTAATGAGATTGTGGATGAGTGGAACAAACTCCCGAGTACAGTTTTTAGAGGCCAGAACGTTGTGTAGCTTTAAAAATAGGTTGGATAAATACATGAGTGGATGTGGGTGGGTGTGAGTTGGACCTGATAGCTTGTGCTACCAGGTCGGTTGCCGTGTTCCTCCCTTAAGTCAATGTGACCTGACCTGACTAGGTTGGGTGCATTGGCTTAAGCCGGTAGGAGACTTGGACCTGCCTCGCATGGGCCAGTAGGCCTTCTGCAGTGTTCCTTCGTTCTTATGTTCTTATGTTCTTACTCTAGAAGATGGGCAGTGGAACCAGTCTACTCTTCCAGTCAGACTAGGAGGCATTGGTGTCCGCAAGTCATCACAGATTGAACTATCTGTTTTTCTGTCGTCATGCACTGCATCCAGAGGGCTCGTAGCAGCAATTCTCCCTGAACATCTTAGGGACAAGATTGGAGTCCAGGACCAAAAGTTCATTGACGGAGCCATGATCTGGGATAATCTAACGGGCTCTGAAACCAGACCTGCTCCACCCAACAACTACGAACAGTCGCACTGGGATGGCCCAATAGTGGAAAATATAGCCTCAACAGTGCTCCACAGTGTGTCAGGGAAGGAAGGAGCCCACCTCCTGGCAGTGAGAGCTCATCATGCAGGGGACTTTCTGTTGGCTGTTCCCAACTGCAGCCTTTGCACACGGCTCGGCCCACAAACCATCCCCATTGGTGTTGCCCTTCGACTTGCCGCCCCTATTCTCGCCGAAAGCAGGTGTATTTGTGGCAGTGAAGCAGCAGACCGATTCGGGTACCATGGTTCTTTTGTGCCGTAAATCCGAGGGAAAGATTGCAAGACATGAGGAGGTTAATAACATTATCAAGAGGAGCCTCATAACAGCCGCATGCCCAGCAGTAAGGGAGCCACCCCAACTATGCAGATCTGATGGCAGCCAGAAGTGTCCAGATGGTATCACACTTCAAGCCTGGACAGACGGTAAGCAGGTGGTGTGGGACTACACATGTGCATCTACCTTGGCTGATACCTATCTCCAATACACCAGGGAGGAAGGAGGGGCAGCTGCCAGCTTCAGGGAGTCCCAAAAGTCTAGAAAATATTGAGAACTTACCCATCATTATATGTTTGTTCCCATAGGCTCAGAGACCCTTGGCTCATAGGGAAAGAGTGCATCTAAGTTCCTTAAGGAGCTGAGAAAAAGACTCATCAGAGTAACTAGGGATCCCGGGGCAGCTAGTTTTCTGTTCCAGCGACTCAGCGCTGCTGTTCAAAGGGGTAATGCCTGCTGTATTTTGGGCATGCGCCCCAGTTCTGAGGAGTTGGATGAGATTTTCGCATTATAATCAGTGACAAACACGTAACAATATGTACTAGACGTTCATCTCTCACATCTCATGTACTGTATATGCCATCTTTATATCAACAATGTATCTCTTAAACCTTTTTGTACCATATTATGTAATAAAATATACTTGTTGGTAAAAAAGAATGAAAAGATGGGGTTGTAGAGGAAGTGGAATATTCAAACGGCTTCAGGAAGAAATCCAAATATTCTTCCTTGAAGCCTTTTTATCCACTTCTCCGAGGCTATGGGTCCCACAATTTACACCAGAGGTGGACCCCATTATATATATATGTATATATATATATATATATATATATATATATATATAGATATATATATATATATATATATATATATAATATATATATATATTATAATTATATATGGTAGGGGAAGTGGAATATTCAAACGGCTTCAGGAAGAAATCCAATATTCTTCCTTGAAGTTCTTTTTATGCACATTCTCCGAGGCAATGGGTCCCACAATTTACACCAGAGGTGGACCCCATCATATATATATATATATATATATATATATATATATATATACATATATACAGGCTGGACAGGCACCTAAAGTCAGTACCTGACCAGCCGGCCTGTGGTTCGTACGTCGGTTTACGTGGTTGATTAGGCCCTGATCCACCGCGAGGCCTGGTCACGGACCGGGCCACGGGGGAGTTGACGCCTGAACCCCTCTCCGGGTATACTCCAGGTAAACACAGAGATAGCTCTCGGTGTATATACATAGATACAATCTTCAGCGTTTATAAAACCTGCTAAAAAAGGGACAAATTAAACATTTGCACTCCGAGACCCCTGAGACCATTGTTCTAGACACATTTCGAACCCTCTGAGATTATTGTTCTGGACAGAGTATGAAACCCCTGAAATCATTGTTCTGGACACTGGACTTTCTCTCAAAATTTGCATTCACGAGAAAATTGGTGACGTAGAGAAGAGGCCAGAGTAAGGTACGATAATATAACATTTCCTTCTCAGGTACAGTACTGCTGCCGTGTCAAGAAGAACTTGCAATAATGTGTTCAGTGACTTGGAAGACGATGATGGTGCTGATGCTTCTGGTGCTGGGGATATGTAAGTTATCACCTGCTTGTTCTGTCTCATTACTGGCTGTTGCTTGTAAGTGTGAATATCTTTTGTTTCATTATTGTTTGTAGGATTTTAGTTAGGCTGTGTAACATCGTTTATTAGTTAGCAAGTGTTCTGACTCATTAATGTTAGAAGCTTGTTAGTTAGTATTCATTATGTTTCATTACCGTTTGAGGCATGTTAGTTACCATGTTTTTTTTTTGTTTCACTACTGTATGAAGCATGTTAGTTAGAACATAAGAACATAAGAAAGGAGGAACACTGCAGCAGGCCTGTTGGCCCATACTAGGCAGGTCCTTACAATTCATCCCACTAACAAACATTTGACCAACCCAATTTTCAATGCTGCCCAAGAAATAAGCTCTGATGTGCAAGTCCCACTCAAATCCAACCCCTCCCACTCATGTACTTATCCAACTTAAATTTGAAACTACCCAAAGTCCCAGCCTCAATAACCCAACTAGGTAGACTGTTCCACTCATCAACTACCCTATTTCCAAACCAATACTTTCCTATGTCCTTTCTAAATCTAAACTTATCTAATTTAAATCCATTACTGCGGGTTCTCTCTTGGAGAGACATCCTCAAGACCTTGTTAATATCCCCTTTATTAATACGTGTTTCACGTTGTTTGTGTTATTTTTATTGTGGGTATAAAACCCTAGCCTTCATTTTTTATTCACTAGCACATAGTTAGGTATAACATATTTACCTTCTTTTGTTTTCTCGTTTTTAACCCATGCATTTCCTGTTTTAAAATATCATATATACGAAGCTCATTTAATGGCCCCTCCAACGTCTTACATACTTAGTACTCAAAACTATCTTATTACACATTTCATAAAAATTATCTCCAATTTTCACCTTACTCAAAAACAATTGTGCTTTCACTTAACTTAAAATTCCATAATCATCTGTTTACAAGCTGCCAGAATCTGCGTGTGTCCTCACCACTCTTTCATGTACGTAAACACTGACTCTCACCTTTTTCTTAAATCCCCTTTTGAGACTTAACCAAACAATTTTTAAAAATAAAAATTTTTTCTATTGTTTTCCCCTTTGAAATTTTCTTTGTCCTTTAATAGTTTGAATTTTCTCTCCACTTTTGGGACAAAACCTTGCCAATAAAATCCCAAGCTCAGTCCCCCACCAAATGACTACTCCCCGGCAACTCCCCCAACACCGTTCCTAGCCCCGACAACCCCATACGAATCCCCCTTTTTATCAAGCCTAAAAAACAAGGCAGGAGATTAATACTTCCCAAACCCTTTTAAATAAAAAAAAGTGTCAAAAGTGCAAACCCAAATCATTGCAACACTTTAAAAATCCATTGAATCCCCCCTTCCCCACAGTACTCAAAATAGCAAGGGTCACCCCGATCCAAAGGAGGAGACCCAAACAGAGTTGAATAACTAAGGCCAATATCCATCTACACCCCTCCTAAAATCTTCGAAAAAAATTAATTCTAAACGAATCTACTCCTGAGACACCTTCAGGGCATTGTTCTACTAGGCTGGAAAATTGCTGACATAACAGCACCTTTCAAGGCAGGTAAATTGCCGACCAAAAATTACAAAATTTTCCGGGGCCCCATAACGGAGATAAAAAACCCAATTATTGGGAGCGCTTTAGGTTTTCCCAAAACCTGATTCCCCGGGAAACCCGGGGGGAGAGATACATTATTAATACACCTGGAAAAACCAGAGGACTAGTACCGAACTTTCACACAAAAACACTCTTACGAAAGCAAAAGACTTTGGGAACATGCACCACCCCCCCAAAAAAAGGGCAGGGGGTCCTACATTTTAAGAGACCATACAAAAGTTCGGGGGGCCCGGACGTTAAACTGCCCCCCACAAAAAAAAAAGGGGGGTTTACCAAAACCCCTGGCTCTAAAAGCTGGCATGGACAGCCCTAAAGTGGGTTTCCGGATCACCGGGCGTACTCTATGTTGGTTTGCGTGCAGCCACAGCAACAGCCTGTTTCAGGCTCTGATCCCCCCAGGGGCCCTGGTCTCAGACCGGCCGCGGGGGCTTGCCCCCCGGGAACTCCTCCAGGAAACTCCATTTCCGGGCCCAGGTACCTTACCCCAAAAAACAACTCCCCCCGCCCAATTTGGATTCAGGCCTAATAAAAATACAATGATGCTATTAACACATGTAAAAACATATTACACTGCAAAGAGAAAAAGAACCCATGGGGACTTCATTATTTAGTAAAGCTTTTGATACAGTTGCCCATGACTTGCCCACGTAAAATTGTCCACTAGGGTATTAGGGGGGCCCTCCCTCAACTACCTAAAGTCATCCCTCAGCAACAGAAGCCAAATTGTACGAAAATGGGGAAAACTTTTCTGCGCAACCAATTACAGTGGTGTCCCACAGGGGAATTTCCCTTGGGCCCTCTTCCTTTCTCCATAAAAAAGACCCTTTCCAAATGCTTCGCAATTACTCAAACCCACACTTTTTGCAGATAACACAATACTCTTCCTCACCCCAGCCCCGCACAAACCAATACTGTAAAAAACCGAAAAACAGAAAATATTACCGGATAGGGCTAAAAAAACTTACACTAAACATGCAAAAACCCACTTATTTTATTTGGTAACAGAGCTACAGAGGGCCCTTTACATAACATAAAAATCACCACACAAATAACAGAGGGGAAAAATTTTAGGGAAACCCCTTGATAATAGACTCCCAAATTTCATACACAATACAACAAAATTTTTAAGAAAAATTTTCCCAAAACGTAGGTACTATCGAAGAAGGATATTTCCCAGTCACCCCCCTGGCCCCCGTTCACTCCTTTTTACCCCTTCCACCCATGAATTTGCGCATTGGGGCTCAACAACAAAACCACTCCAAACCATAATTCCCAACAAAAGGGGAGTCCCGAATGATAACCAAAATTTTCCAACAGGCAGCACACTCCACCAAATTCAAAACACAACCTACTCACCCCTACAAAACACCATACTTTTTATGCACCCCATTTCATCATAAAACACTTAAATCTGAATTAACCCTCCCCTCAAACATCTCCTTGCCAACCTCAACAGAACACATGACCATAAACAAGGCAAAGAATCACCTTTGATGTTCCCCCGGTCCATTCACGCTATGCAAAAAAAACAAAGCACATAAAAGGCCCAAAAAACGGAATTCATTACCTTAAAAAAAAAAAAACACTTCCGTTTTAAATTCGTCTCTTCTCAAAGATCATTACCACCAAAACCAAAAAATACTGATAACGAACCTTATAAATTGTATATTTAAATGTTTCCACAAAAAATCACAAAATGTTAAACCAAAAACCAATCTAATTTATTTTTTTTAAATACACTACCTAACAGAATCACTCCTAACGAATGCAACCATAACCTTCTTTGTTACTCACTGTCTTTATAGTAACGTTTACAATAATGTTTTATCATGATTTTTCATTGCTTAGTTAATCTTTTTTAATTTTTTAACCACCCCTAAGCTATCATATAAGTGGCTTTGGGATGCTGCTCTTACCTGTATTTTTTTGTACCTCGTATGTGGCCAAATTGGAATAAATAAAATTAAAAAAATATTTTTAAGCGTAACACAAATAAATAAGAGCTACGACGACGTTTCGGTCAGACTTGGACGATGCAAAACACACAAAAGAAAAGGAAGAAGGGGGAGTTATATGGCCGGAGGGGGTAGTGGAGGTAAAGTATAGTGGAGGTAAAGGTAGTATGGGGTAGAAGAGTATTGGGGGAAGAAGGTATAGGGAAGGAGAATTTTTTCCTGGATAGAGCATGGTGAACAAATAGGCATCAGAGAGGTTTGCATAAATGGGAGAAATCAGAGTGGGGAAGCGTTACGAAGCGGTGTTCCACAGGGGTCATGGTGGCCCCCTGCTGTTCTCAATCTACATAAACGACATAGATGAGGCATAAAAGAGCGACCAATCGCTAGTTTGCCGATGACACCAAAATAGGGCCGTCGATTTCAATTCTGACGAGGACATTCGAGCACTCCAGGAAGATTTGAATAGACTGATGCAGTTGTCTGGAGAAGTGGCAGATGCAGTTTTAATATAACAAATGCAAGTTCTAAATGTTGACAGGAACAATAACCATGCCAATAGGGGTATTACATAATAAACTAAATAATGTAGATATTAATATTAACGGATTGCGAAAAAGATTTAGAGGAGTTTCTGGTTAGCAGTAATCTGAAACCAAGACAACCAGTGCATAAGAGTTCGCAAATAAAGCTAATAGAATCCTAGGCTTCATATCAAGAAGCATATACAATAGGATCCTCAGGTTGTTCCTTACAACTCTATACATCCTTGTTTAGGCCTCATTTAGATTATGCTGCACAGTTTTGTCACCGTATTACAGGGAATTGATATAAATACTCTGGAAAATGTACAAAGGAGGATGACAAAGATTATCCCCATGTATCAGAAACCTTCCCATGAGGATAGAACTAGAGGGCCCTGAATCTGCACTCTCTAGAAAGACCTTAAATAGGGGATAGATTAAGGTGTATAAATGGAAGACAGGAATAAATAAAGGGGATGTAGATAGTGTGCTGAAAATATCTAGCCTAGACAGGACTCGCACAAATGGTTTTAAGTTGAAAAAATCAGATTCAGGAAGGATATAGGAAAAGTACTGGTTATGGTATAGAGTTGTTGTATGAGTGGAACAAACTCCCAGTACAGTTATAGAGGCCAAAACGTTGTTAGCCTTTAAAAATAGGTTGGGATAAAAACATGAGTGGATTGGATGGGGTGAGTTGGACCTGATGCTTTGTGTCTACCAGGTCGGTTGCCGTGTTTTCCTCCCTTAAGTCAATGTGCTGACCTGACTAGGTTGGGTGCATGGCTTAAGCCGTAGGGGGAATGGACCCTGCCCTCGCATGGCCAGAAAGGCCTTCGCAGTGTTCCTTCGTTCTATATGTTCTTAATCTAGAAGAGGGCATGGTAACCAGTCTACACTT